TATATATATATATATATATATATATATATATATATATATATATATATATATGTAGTTAGAAATACCCTCTATCAGACAATATCATATTTATAATGAAATTGTTTCTAGATTTAACATAAAAAATGTTTTTGTAAAACGTACGAAAATGGAGTTCAAAGAAAATAGGTGTCAAAAGCGACATACCTATTGGAAATTATATAACATATTGCATATATGATAATATTTGATAATAAGTAGATCATTAATGCATTTAATGGTTGAATAATATTCATTTAGTCAAAATATAATGTTACAAAAGGCAAATATAATTAAATAAAAATATCTTTGGCATTTCCATCTTTTCATTTCTCACATATTTTATATATGTTTTATTTTTAAACTAAACAAAATTAAACTTTAAAATAAACAAATGCATGTCATAATGAGAGGTTAGAATCAGGTTATGTTAGTCACAGAGTATCGCACCTATCGCATACAGTAGGGGATATGTCACTTTAAGACATATTCTCATAAAAATTTTCAAGTTATACAATAAAAAAATAATAAAGATAAAAATATTTAAAAGATATTTGTACAAAAGCCAAATGCATGTAGAAGAATTTAACATTAAACAAAAAGATTATTATTGCTGTTTGCCCTTATAGAAATATCATACTAAGAATCATTGATAATTACTTATTTTCAGTATTAAAAATACTGGATAATAAGTAATTATCAATGATTCTTAATATGATATTTCTATAAGGGTGGTCTACGTAATTCGTCAATAAAAAGCATAGAAATAAAACTTACGAATTTCTAAAACTCGATATTTGCTAATTTAACATATAAAAGAACAAGAAATATACTACATATGAATTTTTCATGGCTTAACTGATAAAACAAATTACGTTTATATTAGTTTCGATAAAATACAACATTTACTATTTGAGATATCCCTTATAGAAATATCATACTAAGAAATACTGAAAAATTATTAGTGATTAAATATTACCAGTAATTCAGTAATTTTTTGGCCAGTACTTAATTTCTGGTGAATACTGATAATAAAATCACTGTTAAATATTGATAGTAATCAAATACTGAGAATTATTATGCGAAGGTGAAAAATGAGAAAATCATAATGTTTACAAAAATATACTTATATTCCTAATTTTCTCATGTCTTATAAACTACTATATATCGAAGGTTGTCAATATATTCCAAACTTTCATGAATCCTCCTGCGATAATTTCGATCCAAAGCGGTATACCACTGGTCCCATCCATGTCCTGACCGCATTAAACTGTTGCTTAACCTGACGATTGAGCGCGCACGCGGTGACTGATGACTCCAACGATGTTCTTACAATTCATGCTTATATAATGTATCCTTGGCTAAGTTTGGCAGGATTCGTCGATAATTGTTTGTCATTTCAAGGAATCGACGAAGCTCTGTAACAGTCTCAGACTTGGGAAATTGTTCTATAGCTCTCACTTTATCTTGAGGCGGTTTAAGTCCAGCCTGTGAGACGGTGTAATCCAAGTAACGAACGGAGTCCTGTGCGAAAAAGGATTTCCCTGCGTTGACTGGTAAGTCGTTCCTTTGCAGGAGCTCAAGGATAGCAGCAAGATGTTGCAGATGCTCTTCGTGACTGTTTGAAAACACAATGATGTCATCAATATAGCAGGCTGCAAAGTCAATTCCACGTAACAGACTGTCCATATGGCGTTGGAACGTCTGTGTGGCGTTGCGGAGTCCAGGCGGCATGCCAAGAAATTCGAAGAGGCCAAAAGGTGTCGTAACGGCAATCTTCGGCACGTTTTTTGGCGCTACGGGAATCTGATGATAGGCTCGGACGAGATCTATCGTCGAGAAAACTCGACTTCCATGCATCCGCTGCAGGATGTCGTCAATCCGAGGAATCGGATACCTGTCTGGCACTGTTTGAGCGTTCAGACGGCGGTAGTCCCCAGTTGTGCGCCATCCTGGTTCTTGGGCACCATGTGTATTGCACTTGCCCACTGGCTGTGCGATGGCTGCACAACTTCCAGATGTAAAAGAAGGTCGAAGTCCGCCTTAGCCGCAGCCAACCGATTCCCTAAAAGTCCCCTTGGACGCGCAAACACTGAAGGGCTTGTGGTCCTGATATGGTGTGCAGTCCGGTCAGAGCGAAACGCAGAAAGAGTAGGCCATGGTGAAGACTGCAGCATGGAGTTTGAGCAGGCTGGTGTATGCATCACGTTGCGGTGAGTCTGAGAGGTTGTGCTGTCCGACTGCCGAAATGCCGACTGTGGCAGCGTTGCGAATTGCACCTTGTGTAGTGAGGCTAGTATGCGGATCTACTAGACTCTGCCGAGAAAGATCAATGACAAGTCCATAGTGGGCCAAGAAGTCAGCCCCTAAAATTGCTGAACACACATCTGCAATGACGAAAAACCATCTAAAGGCACGACGAAGTTCCAGGTTGAGAGTCAACGGCTGCTGTCCGTATGTGCTGATGGCTGTCGAGTTTGCGGCGAACAGCCGCAGTTCAGCCGGAGCGAGTTTCCGGTGGATGAGTTTCCGTGGGATGAGTGAGACTACGGATCCCGAATCAACCAGGAACCTAATGTTCGTGACTCTGTCAAAAACGTGGAGTCTTTTTCCGGCAGGTGCAGATGTGCTGTCGCCGACCACCTGTTTCGACGACAGCGGAGTTAGTTTCCCGCGTGGGTTGACGCAGAAGCTGAAGACCTGTAGCTGCAGGGTTGGTGGCACTGCCTGGCAGAGGCGCCAAAATGGTGATGATAATAACACTACTGGCTGCCTCCCTGTCGCGTTGGGCTACCACGAGGATGCGACCTGAAGCGTGGTCGTCCCGTATGAGGAGGTTGTCCCTGGTGGACAATCTGAGGCAGAAGGCGTTCAAACAGAGTCGTCAGATGACAGACCGACTGCTGAATCGACGTCACAGCTTCCTGTAAACGGTGAATCCTGGCTGCTGGCTGCGTGAACTGGATTGCCTCGAACTGACGAAAGAACTCGCGGTGTAATGACTGCGAGGACCTGTGGTGTGGAGGTGCCCTCCATGAGCTCGTCTGCAACCGATGAAAGTTCATCAAGGCTAGTTGTCCGCAGGATCTTCAAAACTCGCTGCACTGCTGGTGGCAGGAGCGCCAACCAGCAGACACGGAGAACATCCTCCGATACCCGGCTGCCTGTGAGCGTCTTCATGTGACGAAGAAGCTGTGACGGCCTCCGGTCTCCAAGCTCCAAATCAGTGAGCAGACGATGAAGCTGCTTGTCTGCCGAGTCAGCAAAACGGGCAAGCAGCTGCGTCTTTAGTGTGACGTATTCGTCGATCTCTGGTGGTGTGGCGAGAATATCAGCAATCTCTTGAATCACCTCCGAGTCAAGTGCACCAATAACAAGATGGTACCTGCTATCATCAGAGCGGACCCGATAAATTTGGAAAAGCGATTCAATTTGTGCAAACCACAAGGCCGGCTGCTGCTTCCAAAACGGTGGAACTCTGCACGTGGTGACAGCCTCGACGATCGGCTCGCCAAATGACTCGATGCCCATCGGTAGAGGCTGTGACGGAGCTCTGCCTCGGAACTCGCCAATGTTCCGGTCGGTACTGGCATCTTGGTTGCCATCTCCTTGCCGAGGGGCGTGCTCTGGGGGAGGGACGCCACCACGCGACGTGATCGCGGCATCGGAACTGTCACTCGTGCCACGCACAGGGGAATGCAACATTGTATCCGCTTCACTCACTCGCTTGACACACGCGAGGGGAAAGAAAAAGAAAACCAGAGGAGGAAGGCCGAGAATTCCGCACTTCTCACGAGCCTCTTTCACTCACTTTGCTGAGATTGGCTAAAAGTTTTAGTTTACGATGTCTTGTTACATACATATATAAATAAAAGAAAAGGTGTGCTCAGCACTCACGAAAATCGCCAAGTCACAGAGCTGCATTGGTATAGCATATCCATTAATTTACCCTGGGAGAGCAGACCACTAGAAGTCCTCTCAAGGGTTATTGTCTTGTGGTGTTTTGTCTGATCATTACAGTAAAAATTACACAAGTGTGAGGACCGAGATCACGTCGGGGTCACCAATATGTAGAAATGTCACTCAAACATACACGTAGCACCCTGTGTATGTTGTACCACACAACTCTAAGCGTGTAAAATGCTCGGAATGCAACTATGGACAGGCACACATGTCACATACAAGAACTAATGCTCAATGCACCAATTAACAAAAGAAATGTATATTTAAACGTGAACACACATATTTCTTTAGTAGGCTCCGACCACCACACAACATGAAATAAATGAACAAGAGAAAATTACCTCGCACGCACTTAACCTACGCAGCAAGGAACAAAGGAACAGTATTCTTTACAATCTCTCAAGCTTAACTCTAACGCTGGTACTTAATTCTAACACACGGTATGTTGGTACAGAGAAAAGAAAAGAACGTTATCACGGCTTGTGTGGAGGTCGCAGTACAAAACAAAGCAAAGGAAAGAAAGGATTTCTCCGCACAAGCAAGGTCGAATACATGCGTACCTGTGTACCGACACGTGTACAGCTTGGCACAATGCTAAGACTGTGCACACAGGTGATCACGCAGGAGCACGTGATCGACACCGCGCCGACGTACCGTGTGCGCACGTGGGTCTGTCCGCGGCACGTAGACAACCCGTGTTACTGCCCGGGTATGCACGGCACAATCATACCTTTTTGAGCGAGCATGGAAATACGCGTAGCGAGACACAAAAAATACCTTACTTGCTAATGCGCGCGTGTGACGTCACAAGCAATTGCACGTGGCGCACTGCTACACTAGCGTGCTTAATGGTACAACACAGCAATATTTCCGCGCGGTTACATTTCACGAGGTTCTCTTTGGCACAACGTTTTACGAAGGCTTACGCCACTGCGTCTTCGTGATTACTTGCACGATTTATCTCGCTCAATTCCGGCACGAGAGAGGACACACATGTGTCGCAATAACGAACCGGCACGTACCTCACGAAGGACACCGCGACATGTAGGACGGCTAGTCCAGACAAAGGAAAACGTATGTACAAATCTCAAGCGTGAGAGAAAACGGCTTCTACTTTCTTACCACTTGATACGACTGACTGGTAGAGAGAACCGTCTATAGCACTTACGGTGCGATCGCAAAAGCTTGGCGCGGCAGTAGTTTCTGCTTTCGCCTATCAGCGCACGGCAGCTGCTGCACAGGTGTGTATGCATGTACGTGTGCGTCCAGCGTTAGCTGGGGCGCCACACTACTCTTACTCCTTACTCCATCTATTGTAGATCGGGCCTAAGTATAGGTAGTGGTGCATTTTCTTCCAATCGCCACGCGCTATATTATTGGGCTGCACTGTGACTCGAGCGGTCCGTCCTTTACTATTCAGCACACGCTTTTCCTTAATCTTTCGTAATTAATTTCTCAGTTATTATTACGAATATTGCAAAATGTGGTATAGGACTTTTATATTTATTTTAACCCGCTCTACGTTCTCACGAGAGCTTCGTAGATTGTTCTGAGACACCCTGTGTAATAAATATAAAATAATATTTTTTTAAATGAAATTTTTTTGTAAAATAAGCTGTAAAATTATGAATTTCTAGAAAAAAATGATTTGTTTGATTTAAAATATCTATATATAAGAATAAGTAAATTATTTCTTTATAAAAAGTAAATTAGTTTTTTAAAATATGTTCGGGATTCGACGCCAATGAGCTGCCGATATAATATTCTAGAACCTTCAATATATTCAATAATATTTCAGAAAATCGAGAGAACACGTAACATCTATTCCGAATCTCGAACATATTTATTCGCGAGTGATATCGAGCAAGGACACGTAAACAAGCGAGTCCGTGGCGCATGCTGTATAATCATATTGTTTCGTTAAGTAGTCTTTGACGTTGGCATAGCAACCGCGGCCGAAACAACGATTCCGCGAATCAACAGCCGGCACGCGCCGCGGATCCTCGCTTTGCAACATTTTATCTCCTTTTAAGGAGATCACGGAATGCGTGAATCTCACGACAATAAAACCGCCAATCCGCGCGCGACAGAGCACAACCCAACGGGTATATTAAATACCGTGCGCGGCAATTCACAAGATTCGCTTCCTAATCGTGGCATAATCGTTATCGGACAAAACGCACTCGTAGTCCTGAAAAACGGGAGACGATCCTTTCGTGGCAATCAGTCGGGCGACTCTCAACTGCTTCAGGGGAAGCCAGTTATTGCCGCCATAGTTGGGTCTGCGGTGCGCAAAGCTTTAATTATCGGCGATTGTGCTCTCTCGCGCGATCGAGTTCAGCAGCGGCAAGATTTCCAAATCGCTAATTGTGCTCGGGCTACCAAGCTTTCTGTCGCGATCATTGAGATTGGCTGACCGCGGATAAGAAGATTTCCGTGTGCGGAGCAATCAAGGCCATTTCAAGATCACGCTGACCAAGAGCGTACACAGAATAAAGTTGTTTTGTTGAGACATCAGCTCACGTTAATTTGTCGTCAACCATACCATCTCCCGTTCCTCACGTCACCGGGTCTCGTGCGAGGCCGTCCCGGCAAACAGACTTTGCGCTAACCAAAAACGCAAATCTGATACAAAATATAAAAACTGTGTTTAAGTAAATATTTGCTTGTTTTAAAAGTAAATAAAATAAAAGTAAATCATTTTATTGATCTAAATAAATTATTTTCTAATATTAAATATATCTTTTTGTGTTTCAAATTAAAGTTTCTTTATTATCAGCAAACAACCCTAACAGCACAAATACATCCTCAGAATGTTTTATAAACATCGTAAAAGTATATTACGTATAGAGTAAAGGCACCAAAAACGATATACCACTTTGTTTTTGAAGGTTATGTCTTAATGTAAAACTCAAAATATAAATGTAAATATATATACACGTAGTTGAAAGTATCCTCTATCAGATAATATCACATTTTTATTGAAATTGTTTCTAGACTTAAAACAAAAAATGTTTTTGTAAAACGCACGAAAATAGAGTTCAAAGAAAATGGGTGCCAAAAGCGACATACCTATTGGAAGTTATATAACATATTGCATATAGGATAATATTTGATAATAAATAGTTCGTTGATGTGTTTAATGGTTGAATAATATTCATTTTATTTAAAAGCAATATTTATGTTAGTGTTCACTGATATATATAATTACAAATAATTATTGAAAATGATTTACACCCTAACAGCACGCGATGTACTGCGTATCATCCCATTTTCGTACTCATTGTACTGTGATCATCTGTGACGTACTAAGTTGAACGCTAGAACGTCACTTATAGTATCATTCGGTTTTCTTTCACGTGCGAATGTTCTCAGATTTTACTCAGGGATACGGAAATGATATGTACGCTTTTCTGTCGCGTGCGTACATTCTCAGGTTTGACTGAAATGATACGTACGCATTTGTATCGCGCGTGTATTTACTCAGAACGTACTCATTCGATCGCAGTACATATGAGAACATTCTCAGATGATTGCAATATACGCATTGCGATTTACTCAGAACGTCCTCAGAACGTCCCCGTGCCGTTAGGGTTATACCGTTTTTTCGGAGGAAATAATCTTTTTAGATTTAATATTCGTACATGTTTAATTTTATGGTTCTTTTTTATTTCATTAAAATATTATATTCTTAAACGAAATATCATTTTTTGAAATGATGAAAATAAAACTTTTATTTCGTTCAAGGAAACCATTTTTTTTGGTTTTTGTTTTTTTTGGTAAGGCAGGGAAAATGCATTACGCACACCCCCCGGGGGTTGACGACTCCCCGGGAGGTAGTGTGGGACTCTACCCCCCCCCCGGAGCGAATAGGCCCGGGGAGGGCCTACCCACTAAAACCTCTGCCGAGTCCCTTCCTCGGCGGCCGTAACGAGGGCGCCCCGGAAAGCTTTTCGCATCCTTCCGGGGCGCCCCCAGCCGCTAGAGGCTCACGCCGTCCGTTCTCGGGCCGGAGGGTAGGTGCCGCCAGGTATGACGACACCAACGACCCACCCATCCGCTCCATGAAGGTGCGGCGGGGAGGTATACTCCCTCCGGCCGTTTCCGTCGCATAGCCGTGCGGCGCGGAACCCCACGCCGCACGGCCCATCCCCTCTTGGGGGGGGGACCGGTTCGCCACCCGGTCACCCGTTCCTAATTCCATAGGTCCCGGCCGACTTACAGGGGGGAGGAACAGGCCTGCGTCGGCCCCCTCTCCTTCTGCGGTCAGAAGCCCCCTATCCCGGGAGAGGGGGGGAGCGGCAACGAGTGCGCCCGCATTGCCCCCCCCGAAGGAAGGGCGTGCATCGCCGACACCCCACCCCCTCTCTCCAGCCGCTCCAGATGCCGCCGCCGAGTGTTGGCGGCGCCTGTCACGGACGGAGGGATTGGAGCCGCTGCCTGCGGGCTTCTAGTGCCCTAGCGGCGGCGGCCTCCCTCCTCTGGCGTCTGTCTTCGCGCCGCCTCCTCCTCTGAGGGCGCAGCCGGCGCGGCGAACTCGCCCCCCCCCCACAATCACTTCCCCCCGTCTGGCTCTCTCCTGCTCCTTCTTTTGCGACATAACTTCTTCGCAGAAGGAGGTGACAGCTGACCAGACTTCTCGCCCCCCTAGCATAGCCCTGATAAGGGCCGGGGGCGAGAAGTCCACTCCCACCACGCTTGCGAGGACACGGCGCTGTCCCTCCCACGCCGGGCATTCGCCCAGCGTATGTTGCGCCGTGTCCTCAGCCGCATCACAATGGTGGCAGCGGCTGGCGCACTCCTTCCGGACGACCTTATGCAGGTACTCACCGAAGCAGCCATGGCCGGCGAGCACCTGGGTCGTCCGGAACGTGAGATCTTCGTGTGCCCTGCCTATCCACTCCTGTAGGCAGGGCAGGATGGCATCAGCGACCCTCTTCCCAGAGCGGCCCGTCGCCTCCTCCAGCTGCATCTTCCAGCGGAGGTGGAGGCGTTGTCGGGCCTGCTCCCTAGCGAGGGCTATGGCCCTGGAAATTTCCGTCCGTTCCGTTGTTGTTCCCCCGGCGGAGCTCTCCAGTACGCCGATAGTTTTCGGCGCACATCATAGCAAGGAGCTCCACCGAGGGGATTCCTGCTAGGGCCGTGGCGGCCCTATAAACCCGGGCGAGGCGAGTGGCCATAAACCTCTGGGCCCGGCGAACCATTTGTTGGATCCGCCGGGAACCGGCCATCTCCCTCGCCCAGATCGGGGCCCCGTATAGGGCCACCGAATGGACCACGTTCGGAAACAGCCGCCTAGCCCGCTTTTTCGGGCCGCCGACGGGCAGGAGGGCATCTAGCGCACCTGCCATCCTGCCCAGCTTGGGGGTTAACATCTCAAAATGTTTCTCAAACCTCCAAGCGCCATCCAGAGTGAGCCCGAGGTACTTCATCTCGGTACCCACCCTCATGGAGATCCCGCCGATCCGGAGCTCTAATCGAGGTGGTCTTCCCCTACTCCCGTCATGGAAGAACAGCTGCTTCCGTTTTCGGGGGAGACACCTCGAGACCCATGCTCCGGATGGAGTGCACCACCTGGTCGAGGCCCAGTTGCCCCATGTCCCTGGCCTGTTTCCAGCCCCGTTCCCTGGCCACCACTAATGTGCCCGCGTAGCAGACGACGTGGCAGCCGGGGGGGGGGAGGGCGGCCCGGAGGACCTGGTCGTATGCGATGTTCCACAGAAGAGAGCCGATTACTGACCCCTGCGGAACACCGCAATACACCCCCCCTTCCGCATTGGGGTTCCGTTTTATTGCGGAACTCCAAGCACCTGTCCCGGAAGTAGTCCCTTATTATGTGGATCAGGTAGAGCGGGAACCCAAAGTGGGCCATTCCCGCCTCTACCCGGTCCCAGGGGAGGATATTAAAGGTGTTGGCTATATCAATTGATATAGCATACCCCACCCTCCCCTCCCTCACGATGGCCTCCGAGAGGGACCTGACGCGCTTGATCGCGTCCACGGTCGATCGGCCCTCTCAGAAGCCATACTGCGCGTCGCTGAGCGCGGGACCATTCCGGGATAGGTGCCGGACGAGGCGGGCTTGTATGATTCTTTTGAACATTTTGCCCGCCTCGTCCAACAGACACAGAGGTCTGTATGCGGAAGGGGTGTCCTCCGGCTTGCCTTCCTTGCGTAAGAGGACCAGTCTGGCCCTCTTCCACGGGGCCGGAAACAGGCCAGCCTCGAGGCAGAGGGAGAATATCCGCCTGAGGCGGTCCCCAAACCTCCCTTCTTCGGCCAAGGCCAAGACCCATACTCGGCCCGGGATACCGCCAGGGCCCAGCGCTTTTCCCTTGGCGCCGAGCCTCTTGGCGGGTCGCCTCATCTCTTCCATCGTCACCCCGAGCTCCTCCTCCTCCCAGTCGGGAGGAGGTCCCGTATAGGGTGGGATATTGTTCCCCATCTTCGGGAATAGCCCATCCACAATTTTGTCGAGCAGCTGGGGGTTAAGAGTGTCCGTAAGTGGGGGCGCCCATGGGCGCAATCGCCGTATTACCATCCGGTATGGGTGCTCCCAGGGATCCCGGTCTACGGAGGAGATAAGGTCCTCCCGGGCCAAGGCCTTGGCCTTGGCGATAGCCCTCCTCACGGCGCTTCTCCTCGCCGTGAGGACGGCCGATGCCGCCACCCGCGCGTCCCTATCCCGCCATCGTTCTCCAGGCGCGGCCGGCGGAGCGCCTGAGCTCGGCGATCTCCGCCGACTACCAGTAGGCGGCCCCGCGGGCCGGGGGGAGAGGACTGGGGAATGGACGCATCGCACGCGTCTCGCATCATGCCCCGGATCTTCATAACTCCCCCCCCCCCTCCAATGGACTCGCGAGACCCGGTTACAGGCTCCGCTTCGTCTCAGTTGGCCGTGCAGATGGCGGCCACAAACTTGTCGCGGTCGAGCGAGGTTAACGCCCACCTTGGCGGTCGGGTCGGCCCGCTGCTGCGCCTTGAGAGCACCCCCCGAGGGGCGACGACGAGGCGGAGCTCTATGTACCGGTGATCAGATCCGGTCTTCGCCTCAGTCGCCACTCTCCATCCCTGAACCTGTCGGGCGGCCGCAGGGGAGGTCCACGTCAGATGGACTCCCCCTGCCACCCGACGAAGGTGCTCTCCCAGGCTCTGTTTTGTAAACTGAGGTTGGTAGACGCAGCCCACTCCTGGAGGTCCGCGCCGCGGGGGCACGTCCCCGGGGAATCCCACAACGTGTTGTGGGCATTGAAATCCCTGGAGACAGTGACCGACCTAGGGAGGCGCCTCATTATGAGCGCCTCCAGCCGGGCCAACAGTGCCCCGAATTCAGCGCGGGTCCAGGAGGGCGGGGTATAACACCCGACCACATCTGTGGGCCCGTACTCGACCGCGACGTAGCGGCCCCCCCCCCTCGACGAGCTTCATCGGGGGGGGAGTCACGGCCGATCCCCCCAAAGATAGCCACCGAGCACCTACCTCTCTGGTCCCGGGCGTCCCCTAGGATGGAGGACGATTGCTCCGGGACCGAGTAGAGCTCGGCGGCGACCCCAATCCCAGCGCCGCGCTCGCGCAGCTCTTGGACAAATAGGTCCTGGGCCGCCCGAGCGCGGCGCAGGTTGGTCTGGAGGAGAAGTGTACCTATTGTGATGGTACACTCTCCCTCTTTTCCAGGCTAACTCCCGCAACTGCTGCGGGCTTCGTAATAGGGGAGCGAGACCTGCTTCCCCCGCTCCCTTCACTTTCGGCCCCCCTTTTGCCACCACTCCCCCCCAGCTCTTCGTCGCGGTCTACTTGACCTGTGGTGGAGCGGTGACTCAAACTCCTCCCCCTATTGGGGAGGGACCTGTTCCTTTTAGGGGCAGGGGGGCGCGCACTGTTGCGGGCGCCCTTTCCTGCACTTTTTAGCGGGTCCATCCTCCCCTTTAGTGGGGGGAGATCCGCTCTTTCCCTTTTTGGGGGGCGAGGGGAGCATAGCCCGACCCCTTGTCCCCCTTCTTTCTCCCTTTGCCTTCATTGGGCAAAGGGAAGTGTCCATACGGTGGCCACAAGGCCTTTCGGCGTCGCGGCAGACAGGGCACTCCACCTGTCCGCTGCACTCCGCCGCCCTGTGGCCGTCCCGATCGCAGCTATAACAGAGCCCGATGCGGTCCACCACCGACGTGCAAGTTGCCCTCACGTGACCCCGCTGCAAGTACCTGTAGCATTGCAGCGGGTACCCCGCGAGGGCCACCACACGGACGGTGGTCCACCCCACACGCAGGCGGCCACCATCCAACACTTTCCTGGCCGAGGCCAACGGGCACTGCACCCACATGGTGCCCAGTCCGTTGGCCCCGGAACGGATTGCCCCGACCTTAACGTCCTCGGGCCCGCAGCCCTCAGACGACGCGATAGCAGTGACGACATCCTTCGTCATCACCGCGTCGTTCAGGTCACGGACCGGAAATTCGACCCTCTTCGCCAGTTGCGCAATGCGTACTTCCTTCTCCTCGGCGAAGAGGGTCCTCATTCTCCCGGCCAGCGCGTCGGCCTTCACATGACTCTCCGGACCGGAGACCTCCAACGCCAGGGCGCTGGTTGCCGCCCTTTTGGTGCGGAGGTCCCCGATCCCTAGGTCTGCCAGATTTATCTCCCCCCTCGCCCGGCGCATCACCTCGGCGTATGTGCTCGCTGGACACGTCACCGATACAGCGGCCGAGCGAGGAGGTTTAGGAGCGGCCTGCTCCTTTGCCCTCCGTGCCCCGCGCCTGCGCGCGCTGTCGTCGTCTCTCGGCCTCCGAAGCCGCGCGGGATGCCACCAGTTGGGCCCCTTTCTGCCCCTCCACTCCGCCCTTCTTTCTCCTCACCACCGTGGCCCATGTCTCCTTGACCGAGCCATCGGCGTGGGGAGCGACCGCCCACAGGAGGGCGCCAAGATCCCGCGGCGGCTCCTCCTTATATAGGCCGGTGGGCTTATGGCGAGGGGGCAGCGCTCGCCCCACCTCCTCACCCCCGCCTTTCTAGCTTCTTCTCTTCTTCTTCTTCTTTTTCTTCTTCTTGGAAGGAGAAGAAGATGCCGTCCCCCCTGCCAGGCTCTGTCGTCTTAGATATGGGAGGGGGACCGGGGGCAGCCGTACGTCGGCCCCCCTCCCGAAGGCGCCCACGCCGGCGGCTGTTCGTCCGACCCGCGCCGCCCCCGGGAAGCATACCCTAGACGCGCCAAGATTCGGGGAATCGCTACTTCTAGTAGCAACTCGAGGGCAGTGCCCTCCTCCTCCCCGATTTCAAGGCGCGCCCTGCCATAACCCACTAGGGGAGGGGGGGCACCGCTGTTGCTGCGGCCGTTGCCGCTGCCGTCGCCCCCCCCTCCGGCTTCCCTCTTAGCCGCTCTTGTTGATGCGGCGGTGCGGCAGTTCGCCCTTCCTACTTGGGCCGGGGCTGCTGTTGGCGCAGTACCCGCCCCGGCCCTTGTGGCTGCTGTTGGCTGCCCCCGATCCGACCCCACACATCAGGGAGGGAGACCGTCTTCCCCCCGAGAGGAGGCCTGATGGCCGGAGGGACATTACCGTCCCTCCGGTCCTTATCAATCTTCTTCCTAAGGCGCCTCCTTCTTTCCTCCTCGTCAGTTCCACAGTGAAGGGGGGGGGGCAGGTTGGGGGTTGTAACTCCCGTCGTCCAACTCCACCTTCATGGGTGAATCTCCCCCTGGGGAGGAGAAGCCAGGGAGGGGAGTCAGCCCACTCCTCCTTTTATTCCGGTGGGCTAATTCCTCCTCCGAGGAGGAGCCCTACCCCACCACCCTCGTCGGCCTCTTACGGCCGGTAGTCATGCGGCAGGAGGCGCAACCGCCCTCCCCCTTTGTGGAGGGAGACGCCACCATGCCCCCGGCTTCTTCCAGCCTCGCGATCCTGGCCCTGAGGAGGCGGTTCTGCGAGCTAAGCTCGTCAAGCTCCCGCCTCAACAGGGTCTCGCTCTCCCTCGCCGCGGAGT